TCACCATAGTCATCATAGTTCAATACAATTAACCACCATCGTCATCACTTCCAAGCCATGGAAAAGGACGGATGGAAAAGGCAGAAAAGGACGGATAAGAGAGGGAGAAATATAGAATAAATTCACAAATTAATTTATTCTCTAAAACATGGAATATTAAATGGAACAGAACTGGAAAAGGTCAGGAGCGTCCCAGGATAAGGCCGCTCCGCAGCCTTGGAAGGGGCGGAAAGGGAAGCCAGGAGCGGGACAGAAACAAATGGAAAAGGTCGTGAGTGTCTCAGGAATAGACTAAAGCTTTTAAGCCGTGGAACAGAAACAATGGAAAAGGCGGAATTTGTTCAAAAAAAGAAAAAAAGTTAATGGAAAAGTGTGTGTCGCAGAAATACGGAAATTCACAACCATTGAAAAGGCAGAAAAGGAAGAAGGAAAAGGAACAGGCCACGGAAAGGCAAGTTCAAAGCGTCGGCAACTTTTAAAATAAGAACAAAAAAATTAAGAAAAGTCATAAAAAATAAACAGAGGCAGCGGAAAAGAACAATGGAAAAGAGCGCGACGAGAAAAACTTCAGATCGCGGGAGAGAAAAGTTCATTATACTCAAAGAAATTAGTTAGATTTTGTTCAAACAGCCATACGTATCAGTGCTACGGCCGCTCTCTGCTTGTGCTGTGGGTAAGAAAGTGTGTCACAATTTGGACAAAACGACCCAGCCCTTTTTCTGAGTGTAAGGATGGAGAGGACTAATGGAAAGGTCAGGTGAGCGTTAGAAAAGGCCACCTTCACAGATCTGGAAGAGGGCCAAGGGAAGGGAATAGAAAACAGCGATGAAAAAGTCAATAATGGAAAGGTCAGAAGGGTTTAGCCACAGCTGCGGTACAGAGCAGAAGGAAAGGATCTGGAAAGGGACGATAGATGTAAGGGGTCTGGAAAGGGTTGGCAGATGAAAGGAGTCTGGAAAGGATTGGCAGATTGAAGGGGTCTGGAAAGGGCCGACTGACGGACAGGGTCTGGAAAGGGTTGGTAGATGGATAGGGTCTGGAAAGGGTCGGCAGATGGAAGGGGTCTAGAAAGGGTCGGCAGATGGAAGGGGTCTGTAAAGGGTCGGCAGATGGAAGGGGTCTAGAAAGGGTCGGCATATGGAGGGGTCTGGAAAAACTCGGCAGATGGAAGAGGTCTGGAAAGGGTTAGCAGATGGAAGGGGTCTGGAAAGGGTCGGCAGATGAAAGGGGTCTGGAAAGGGACGATAGATGAAAGGGACCTGGAAAGGGTTGGCAGATGGGTGGGGTTTGGAAAGGGTCGATAGATGAAAGGGACCTGGAAAGGGTTGGTAGATGGATGGGGTTTGGAAAGGGTCAACAGATGGAAGAGGTCTAGAATGGGTCGGCTGATGGAAGGGGTCTGGAAAGGGTCGGCAGATGGAAGGGGTCTGGAAAGGGTCGGCAGATGGAAGGGGTCTGGAAAGGGTCGGACGATGGAAGGGGTCTGGAAAAGGTCGGCAGATGGAGGGGTCTGGAAAGGGTCGGCAGATGGAAGAGGTCTGGAAAGGGTTAGCAGATGGAAGGGGTCTGGAAAGGGTCGGCAGGTGGAGGGGTCTGGAAAGGGTCGGCAGATGGAAGGGGTATAGAAAGGGTCGGCAGATGGAAGGGGTCAGGAAAGGGTCGGCAGATGGAAGGGATCTGGAAAGGGTAAGCAGATGGAGGGGTCTGAAAAGGGTCGGCAGATGGAAGGGGTATGGAAAGGGTCGGCAGATGGAGGGGTCTGAAAAGGGTCGGCAAATGGAAGGGGTATGAAAAGGGTCAGCAGATGGAAGGGGTCAGGAAAGGGTCGGCTGATGGAAGGGGTCTGGAAAGGGTCGGCAGATGGAAGGGGTCTGGAAAGGGTCGGCAGATGGAAGGGGTCTGGAAAGGGTCGGCAGATGGAAAGGGTCTGGAAATGGTCGGCAGATGGAAGGGGTCTGGAAAGGGTTAGCAGATGGAAGGGGTCTGGAAAGGGTCGGTAGATGGAAGGGGTCTGGAAAGGGTCGGCAGATGGAAGGGGTCTGGAAAGGGTCGGCAGATGGAAGGGGTCTGGAAAGGGTCGGCAGATGGAAGGNGACTCAGAAACCTGGACTCAGAAACAGGGTCTCAGAAACCTGGACTCAGAAACCGGGACTCAGAAACCTGGACTTAGAAACCAGGACTTAGAAACTGGGACACAGAAACCTCGACTCAGAAACCTGGACTCAGAAACCGGAACTCAGAAACCTGGACTCTTTAATCTGGACTCAGAAACCTGGACTGAGAAACTTGGACTCAGAAACCTGGACTCAGAAACCTATACTGAGAAACCTGGACTGAGAAACCTGGACTCTGAAACCTGGACTCAGAAACCAGGACTTAGAAACCGGGACTCAGAAACCTCGACTCAGAAACCTGGACTCAGAAACCGGAACTCAGAAACCTGGACTCTTTAATCTGGACTCAGAAACCTGGACTCAGAAACCTGGACTGAGAAACCGGAACTCAGAAACCTGGACTCTTTAATCTGGACTCAGAAACCTGGACTCTGAAAGCTGGACTCAGAAACCTGGACTCTGAAACCTGGACTCAGAAACCTGGACTCAGAAACCTGGACTCACAAACCCTTCTCCCAGAGACCGTGCGAGAAACCCAGCGGGGCACAGCAGCCAGATTCCTTCTTCGGCGCTGGGAAGCAAAAAAAAAAAAAATCCAGCGCCTGGATTTTGGTGGCGTGGTTCCAGCGCCTGGATTTTGGTGGCGTGGTTCCAGCGCCTGGATTTTGATGGCAAGGATCCAGCACCTGGATTTTGGTGGCGTGGTTCCAGCGCCTGGATTTTGGGAGCATGGTTCCAGCGCCTGGATTTTTGGGGCAAGGTTCCAGCGCCTGGATTTTTGGGGTGTGGTTCCAGCGCCTGGATTTTGGTGGCATGGTTCCAGCGCCTGGATTTTGGTGGCATGGTTCCAGCGCCTGGATTTTGATGGCGTGGTTCCAGCGCCTGGATTTTGGTGGCGTGGTTCCAGCGCCTGGATTTTGGTGGCATGGTTCCAGCGCCTGGATTTTGATGGCGTGTTTCCAGCGCCTGGATTTTGGTGGCCTGGTTCCAGCGCCTGGATTTTGATGGCGTGGTTCCAGCGCCTGGATTTTGGTGGCATGGTTCCAGCGCCTGGATTTTGATGGCATGGTTCCAGCGCCTGGATTTTGATGGCGTGGTTCCAGCGCCTGGATTTTGGTGGCATGGTTCCAGCGCCTGGATTTTGATGGCGTGGTTCCAGCGCCTGGATTTTGGTGGCGTGGATCCAGCGCCTGGATTTAAGTCAGAATTTGAATGACTTGGCAAAATTTCGTGGCGGGATTAAAGTTGCTGCCAAACCCAACCAGACCACTTGAACCCTCCCACACAACCAGGCTTACTTGAACCCTCCCATACAACCAGACCACTTGAACCCTCCCACACAACCAGACCACTTGAACCCTCCCACACAACCAGACCACTTGAACCCTCCCATGCAACCAGGCTCACTTGAACCCTCGCACACAACCATGCCCACTTGAACCCTCCCACACAACCAGGCACACTTGAACCCTCCCACACAACCAGGCTTACTTGAACCCTCCCACACAACCAGACCACTTGAACCTTCCCACACAACCAGACCACTTGAACCCTCCCACACAACCAGACCACTTGAACTCTCCCACACAACCAGACCACTTGAACCCTCCCATACAACCAGACCACTTAAACCCTCCCATACAACCAGGCTCACTTGAACCCTCCCACACAACCATGCCCACTTGAACCCTCCCACACAACCAGGCACACTTGAACCCTCCCACACAAACAGGCTTACTTGAATCCTCCCACACAACCAGACCACTTGAACCCTCCCACACAACCAGACTCACTTGAACCCTCCCACACAACCAGACCACTTGAACCCTCCCACACAACCAGACCACTTCAACCCTCCCACACAACCAGGCCCACTTGAACCCTCCCACACAACCAGACCACTTGAACCCTCCCACACAACCAGGCACACTTGAACCCTCCCACACAACCAGATCACTTGAACCCTCCCACACAACCAGGCTCACTTGAACCCTCCCACACAACCATGCCCACTTGAACCCTCTTACAAAACCAGACCCTTTTGAACCCACCACGCAACCACGCAGGGTTGAAGGCAGGAACTATGGTTGGCTGGTAACCACTCAACCACGCAGGGTTGAAGGCAGGAACTATGGTTGGCTGGTAACCACGCAACCAGGCAGGGTTGGAGGCAGGAACTATGGTTGGCTGGTAACCACGCAACCACGCAGGGTTGGAGGCAGGAACTATGGTTGGCTGGTAACCACGCAACCACGCAGGGTTCATGGTAGGTTATTGTGGTTTTTTCTTTCTCGGTCCCAAGTCACAGCTGCAAGATTTCCTTTGTGGGACAGTTGCCAAGTGCTCATTTATGTGCCAGCTTTGCCTATCTCTTATCTGCGCACACTTCAAAGTAAGATAATTCTGTTGAATCAGGTGCCAGCGAACTGCTGTTTCTTTATTTTATTGGTACATAGATTAGGAATTTAATGAATGATATGTAATTTCGACAGTTATTGTTGTTTATAATCATAGAATATGGCGATACTTGGTAAAGAACCGGCTGTCATTCGTGTACGCCAGACGCCTCACCAATCCATTCTGATCAGTCGCCGCTGGCTCTCAGTTGAGGTAGGGTGTCGCTGCGCCTGCTCCGTGTTAGGGTCCATGTGACGAGTGCTGCCTAACTTCCGCCGACTCACAAAGCTTAGTCTGCCGCTCACTGGCCGGTGTTTGTTCCTTAAATAACGTGTGGCATTTTAAAATATTTATTAGTGTGTGAATTTTAGAAATTTCATGAATAGTTTGTCTGCAGTTAATGATTCTAGGCGTGAATTTGTTGTGAACGGAAATGAAGATATAACGAGTTCGGTTCATTAGGACAGTGTTTCACGTGACGAAAATTTTTGCCAGCGGTGAAAAGTGCCTGGTTTCGAGATGGTGTCTGGAGTCTACCATAGCAGATCTACCTCTTCATCTAGCATGGGGAGCATCTACTCACCTACCCACGTTCAGAAAAGCAATGGTAGATTCGATCGAACAGTTTCATACCAACTCTACCAGCGCGGTCAGCAACGGCCGCTGCATTTAGATTCTACCAACTTAGACTACTCGAAGCAACTACACGTAGAGACGTCGGTAGAATACGATCTACCCTCCCACATCTACCCTCCGAAGGATGCTGAACCTATCCTCATGATCGACACCGAATTTCATAGAAAGAAAAAGAGGGTTAAAGCAAGTGCTTCTACTTCGCTTAGTTTTTTAGCTGGTGGTTCCCAGGCTGGAACCAGGATCTCTAATGGTACCAGCAGCACTAGTAGCACCAGCACCTACTGCACCAGGAGTACCATTGATGGTGAAGATAATGAACCATGTTTCTGCCATGGCTGCAGGCTAGCAATCATCACGGGGAATGTCACCAGCAGACGACAAACTAATTCCTCATCATCTCATCCCCAACCTAACATCCCCTCATTCCCAAGTACTTCAGCGTACGCCCCCCGCAACCCCAAGGGGTGCAGCATACCTATAATCACGGTTGACTCCCCAACCCTTCCCCCCGCTAAACCAACCCCGGTTCTCAAATCCACCAAGAAATCCAAGGCGGTTACATCGGTTGAAGCCAATATCCAAGAACTACACCAGCGGTACCAGCAGTACCAGCAGCTACCACAACCTACATCACAGCTACTCTACCCGCTACCACCGCCTTCATACGCTACCGCCACCGCTACCACCAACCTCTATGCCTTCGCTGGTACCAGGACCGCATGTACCACAAACCTGTGCCAGAACGCGATGTGTACCACATGTACCACACCAATGGTAGGTGCGGGACCACCAGACCTGGTACCACACGCTATCGCCACGGCCCACATCGTCAGGTCCCGAGGGTCCCCCAAGCTACGTACCAGAAGGCACCTACCAGCAAGTACCAACACCCATCTCCCCCAGTACCTTCGTAGACCGCGTGCCAACACCATAGGCCACGCGAGTACCACTCAACAAGTACCAATCACCACCACCACCATCACTACCACCAGCTACTTACCGGACCCCAAGATCACCACCCCTGGCAAGCCCCCCCGCGACACCCCCTCCCTGCTACCCCGCGACACCCCCTCCCTGTTATCCTGCGGAGGTCCTGCGCTATTATCCTGCGGCCCGGAGTCTGCGGTGCGGGGACTTACAATATCCGCAGGCAGGGGGGCGCCCCCCACCCCCGCTGTACCCCAGCGGGGGGCGTACAGCCTCGACACCCGCGTGGGGGACACGGCACAGCTCTACCCCACCCCCATCACCCCCGCCGACCTCACCGTAGATGGAGGTGGGTGACAGTGGGGGAGGATGGGTGACACCGGGGTACTTGGGGCACTTGCGGGCTGGGTGACAGTGGGGGGATACTAGGGCCTAGGGGGCTGGGTGACAGTGGGGGAAACTAGGGCCTAGGGGGCTATAGGGGGCTTGGTGACAGTAGGGGGTACTAGGGCCTAGGGGGCTGGGTGACAGTGGGGGGGTACTAGGGCCTAGGGGGCTGGGTGACAGTGGGGGAAACTAGGGCCTAGGGGGCTGGGCGACAGTGGGGGGTACATAGGACAGTAGGAGTCACTGGGGGGGGGGGTGGGGTTGGGTGACATTGGGAGGGCTCTGATAGGAATGGCCGATGAGGCAAGCAGTGGGTGAATGGGTGAACTAGCGAGTAAACCAGCAGGTAAACCAGCAACTTAACGATTGGGTGCGCGTGATGAGCCTAATGGTTTTAACAAGCCGTGGCATGATGGCTGATGGCTGCATGCTGCGCCGTGGCATGATGGCTGCATGCTGCGATGTGGCATGATGGCTGCATGCTACGCTGTGGCATGATGGCTGCATGCTGCGCTGTGGCATGATGGCTGCATGCTGCGCTGTGGCATGATGGCTGCATGCTGCGCTGTGGCATGATGGCTGCATGCTGCGCCGTGGCATGATGGCTGCATGCTGCGCCGTGGCATGATGGCTGCATGCTGCGCCGTGGCATGATGGCTGCATGATTTAGTTTATGTCGATAACGCGTCAATATCGCGCGGCCCGTGCACCGTTATATATACGCCCCCCCCCTCCCTGCCTGCTAAACATGCCCCCCTCATTCCCCTAGTAAAATAAGTGATTTATTCCCCAATCGGGGATGGGGACCCGGGGGAAAGGGAGTAAGGTGGGCCTAGACTTCCAATTGTCCCAATTTTGGACCCAAAGCCCATGCGTCGGAAAAATAAGCCACGTGCCAATTAAAGGTTGGCCCAAGCGATGTCCAACTGATCTCTTTCCTTCCTTAGTTTCCTTAGCATTTGTTTGGGACGTAGCAGTCCCAGGCCACGATGTCCAACTGATCTCTGTGCGATGTCTAATTTTCGTCCGACTGGTTTCGAAATGATGGCAAATCCATGCCTTGCTGTTGTCCAATTGGTGGCCAATAAATGCTTGATAAATTGATAAATGCTTGAATAGTGTCCACCTGGTGACCAATTAATGTTTCCTAGTGTCGCCTTATTGATGTTTAATAAATGTATGATGTCCATTTGATGCTTAATAAATGTCTGACTGATGTCCATTTGATGCATAATAAATGTCCGACTGATATCCATTTGATGCTTAATAAATGTCCGACTGATGCCCATTTGATGCTTAATAAATGTCCGACTTACTTCCATTTGATTCTTGACGAATTTTCAACTAGTGCCCTAATTATGGTGGATAAATTGAATTCCTAACTATTTTCAAACGGATGCCCAACTGTTAACGAATTTCTGTCACCGCCGTGATGACTCGAGTCCCCGTAGGAATAGCATTGCGGACGTCGGGCAGTATACCTGACCGCACCCGTACAACGAAGGCAATTTTTCCTTTTTTTTTTTTGTCGCTGAATTATCCATGGTCAGTTCCTGCCCTGGATTGGGGGCGTGGATTCTTGGGTTGGGCAGACCACCAAACGAAATATTATGTAGAAAAATATTCTCTTTAAATCTTTAATTTTGAGGCATTATTCCGGGGTATAGATGAATTCTTTAATTTAATATAATATTATTTTTGCATTTTATTGTAAAAATGTAATATTTGGTAGAAAAACATTATCTTTAATGTGGAGTCATTATTCCGGGGTAAAAATGAATTGTAAAATTTAAATATTAGATTATTTCTGCATTTTAATGTGGAAATTTAAGCATTGATTCATTTTCAATAAATAGCAATTCTTGTTCTGAGGTCATTGCCTTTATCAAGCCTAAGGGAGCACCCCTTATTCCCCATCCCCCCATTCAACAGCACCCATTCCGCTTCCCATTATGGAACTAGTCAGAGCTGAGCATTTCATACCTGCTCCTATTCCTCCATACCTCAACGCACTGCCCCATTATACCCAGAAATGTGCTGCCCATTATGAGCAGGTTTAGCCCACGCTGCGCTGCCCGTTTGTTGTTCTCTGTCTTAGTTTTCTCCGTGCTCCCTGCTGGCTTTCCCAGCCACCACCACACCAGCTGTCCCAGCCACCACCACTCCAGCTGTCCCAGCTACCACCACACCAGCTGTCCCAGCCACCACCACACCAGCTGTCCCAGCCACAACCACACCAGCTGTCCCAGTCACCACCACACCAGCTGTCCCAGCCACCACCACACCAGCTGTCCCAGCCACCCCAGCCACCACCACACCAGCTGTCCCAGCCACCACCACACCAGCTGTCCCAGTCACCACCACACCAACTGTCCCAGCCACCACCACACCAACTGTCCCAGCCATCACCACACCAACTGTCCCAGCCACCACCACATCAACTGTACGTCCCAGCCACCACACCAGTTGTCCCAGTCATCACCTGACTGTGTCCCAAGCCCACTATGTTGCCAACAACAATCGTTAAATTTTCCTCCTTTTAATTAAAACGTTCATTCCACAACAATCTAAATGATAACTTGATGTTTCAGTTCTATAATTGAACCTGCTACGTTATTCGAGGCGTTGACTGAGAACCTCCAGTAGGCACTGAAACACAAACGACGTTAGGATTCGGGTAGGAGTTGTGTAGGATTCGGGTAGGAGTTGTGTAGGATTCGGGTAGGAGTTGTGTAGGATTCGGGTAGGAGTTGTGTAGGATTCGGGTAGGAGTTGTGTAGATGTTATAGTTGCGTTATCGTCGTGTTATAGACGCTTTATCGTTACGTTATCATCGACGCTTTGCCGTTACGTTATCATCATGTTATGGTCATGTTATCACCGCGTTATCGTCGTGCCATGTCCCCCACAAGCCCTGACCCACTATTGGCCGACAAAGTGAGTCAGAGTAAAACAAGAACCCCAGCAGCAAACAACGAGGAAATATCCCGCCTCCCCTCCCCTTTCCCCTCTTCCCTCCCCTCCCTCCCCGCGGCTGGGGGGAATTTCCAACGAACAACTGAGCCTTGTGGGGACTTTTCCCTCCTCCTCAGCTCCCCTTCATTCATTCCTCTTCCCCTTACTATTCCCCTTTCCCTTACTATTCCCCTTTCCTCTTATCCCTTCCCCTTTCTTCTTATCCTTCCCCTTCCCTCTTATCCCTTCACTCATTCCTCTTCCCCTTAATATTTCCCTTTCCTCTTATCCCTTCCCTTTTCCTCTTATCCTTCTCTTCTCCTTTCCTCTTATCCCTTCTCCTTTCTTCTTATCCATTCCCCTTTCCTCTTATCCCTTCACTCATTCCTCTTCCCCTTACTATTCCCCTTTCCTCTTGTTCCTTCCCTTTTCCTCTTATCCCTTCCCCTTTCTTCTTATCCTTCCCCTTTCCTCTTATCCCTTCCTCACCCCCATCTCCCATTCCCTCGCATGTGCCCCATACGGTATGCCATCAAGCCTTCCCCTTCATCCCTGCCCTCCCCTCTTTCTCTTCACTCCCCTTCCTCCCTGAAAGTGTTGCCTTTCCTCAAGTTTGAAATTTAGGGAAAGTTAGAGTCGTTGTTTCCTTTCTGCGTCCCCCTTCTCCCCTTCCTCTCCTTTCCCTCATCCACTTCCCTCTTCCCTTTCTTTCCCTTCTCTAAGTTCTTTCCTTTCTCCCCTTCTCTCCTTACATTCCTTTTTTCCCTCCCTTCCATCTTTCATCCCATTTTCTTTTATTTCTTTATCCCTTCCTTTCTCCCCTTCACTCCCCTTTTTCCTCCCCCTTCCATTCCCCCTTCCCTCTTTTATCGCCTGAGGGGAAACTGGCTTGAAACCTGAGATAAAAATGTGCTGAGGGTAGAATATGTGCATGTGTAGGATTCGGGTAGGAGTTGTGTAGGATTCGGGTAGGAGTTGTGTAGGATTCGGGTAGGAGTTGTGTAGGATTCGGGTAGGAGTTGTGTAGAAGTTATTTAATGATATCCAGTTCAGGATATCCATGAATGAGCAGCGATTGGGAAACCCGGATATTTTCGTGGAAAATTTGACGCGATGTCCGTTCACGGAAATCGTTTAGTTTAAAAAATTGAACGTCATTCTAGCGGTGCTGACGGTGAAGTGGTGATGTCATGATGGTGTTGTGATGGGGGTATGATGGTAGTGATGTGATGGTTATGGTGATGGTGGTGATGATGGTGCCCGTATGCCTCCCAGGGTGCGGGCTTTGTTTGGCCGCTACCTCCCGCGGGGCTCGCGTTACGGGCCGGGCTGGGCTGGTGCTGGGCTGGTACTGGGCTGATGCTGGGTCAGATTGAGCTGGACTGATGCTGGGCTAGTGCGGATGCTGGTGCTGGGCTGGGCTGATGCTGGACTGGGCTTGTGCTGGGCTGGGCTGGTGCTGGGCTGATGCTAGTGCTGGTCTAGTGCTAGTCCCGCTGTCGTCAGAGCCACAAAGCTCTCATTGTTTCAGCCCCGCAACAGCGACGCAGTTTTGCAGCACATCGTTATCGTCCCGTTATCGTCGTGTTATTCTTGCGTTGTCGCCTTATCTTCGTAGTGTTGTTATTTTGTTATCGTCGTGTCATCGTGTTTTAGTCATGTTATCGTTGTGTTATGGTGCGTTATCGTCGTGTTATGGTCGAGTTATCGTCGTGTTATAGACGCTTTATCGTCGTGTTATAGAAGCGTTATCGTCGTGTTATAGACGCGTTATCGTCGTGTTATAGTTGCGTTATCGTCGTGTTATAGACGCGTTATCGTCGTGTTATAGTTGCGTTATCGTCGTGTTATAGACGCATACCACATAGGATTTTTTTCACTTTTTTTATTCGTAAAATTTGGTTTCATCTTTCTTTTTTAATTTAGATTTTTATAATAAATGATGACATCAGTATTCTAGAATTTTCGATCCGAACCAGAATACTCCTCATGCTATTCCTACCAGAATACTCATGCTATTCCTACCAGAATACTCATGCTATTCCTACCAGAATACTCATGCTATTCCTACCAGAATACTCATGCTATTCTACCAGAATACTTCTCATGCTATTCCTACCAGAATACTCCCCATGCTATTCCTACCAGAATACTCCCCATGCTATTCCTACCAGAATACTCCCCATGCTATTCCTACCAGAATACTCCTCTTGCTATTCCTACCAGAATACTCCTCATGCTATTCCTACCAGAATACTCCTCATGCTATTTCTTCCAGAATACTCGGTACTATTCCTACCAGAATACTACTATTCTGTTCTATTCCTACCAGAATACTCGTACTATTCCTCTACCAGAATACTATTCTGTTCCATGCCTGCTCATGTTTCCCCTTCCCTCGCTCCTTTGGCCCCTCGTTCACTGCTCGCCTTTGTCCCTTTCCCTTCCTTTTCAAAGCCCCTTTCCTTTGTGGAAGTTTCTGCCTTTCCCAGCGTGTGAAATGTGAACTTCAAGTCCCGTTCCTGTGAACCTTTCACGTGAAAAAAACGTGAAAGGCGGCAAGCGACCAAACTTGAAAACCAACAATGCAAGTTATAAACTTCACCCATTCACATTTTTCATATATATTATTACTCATATTTTGTGGCATTCGTTCATACATGAGTGGAATTATTGGAATTATTCAGAAATGAATAAATGAATGCAGACAAAGGCGCGGCCGCTGTTTTGTGAGGAGGCAAAGGCACGGTCGCTGTTATGTGAGGAGGCAAAGGCACGGCCGCTGTTATGTGAGAAGGCAAAGGCACGGCCGCTGTTTTGTGAGAAGGCAAAGGCACGGTCGCTGTTTTGTGAGGAGGCAAAGGCACGGCCGCTGTTTTGTGAGGAGGCAAAGGCACGGTCGCTGTTTTGTGAGGAGGCAAAGGCACGGTCGCTGTTTTGTGAGGAGGCAAAGGCACGGCCGCTGTTTTGTGAGGAGGCAAAGGCTTCTTCGATTCGCTCTTTTCGATGAGAAGAAAAGCGTTGCCTTTCCGAGAGGAAAGAAAAGAGCCTAGCCTTCCCCGAGCCTGTCTTCCCCCAAGCCTCAGCCTTAGGCTCAGCTCACCACACGGCCTACAAAAAAAAAATAAACGGAAAAATTCGGCCCCGAGAGCGGCAAGATTAAACGAAGCGACCGTTGCCGTGCAGGCCTCTAATGACCACAGAAAACGAGCCTGCGCGCCACAGAAAACGACCGCGCCGAAATTCTTCCATGGGAAACTCTTATAAAAACCGAAAATCCTGCGACTTGCCGTGCGGGAGAAAAAAACCTGTGCGGTATAGGCGCTACCTGCCTCCTGAACCTTTCGGCTGGATAAGGACCGGGTTTGTGTCGGGTAAAGGAGCCGTTGTGGCAGGGTTTGTGTCGGATGAAGGTGCGGTTGTGGCAGGGTTTGTGTCGGGTAAAGGTGCGGTCATGGCAGGGTTTGTGTCGGATGAAGATACGGTTGTGGCAGGATTTGTGCCAGGTAAATGTGCGGTTGTGGCAGGGTTTGTATCGGATGAAGATACGGTTTGGTCTGGTTTTGGACTTTTGGTGGAACAAGGGTTCGGCAGGAATCGAGTTTCGCGGTTATGTCCAGACCACAACCGTGCTGTAATGGTGCAGCTATTTTAACAGCGGAACTGACACGCAAAGCTATTTTGATGACACACACCCGACACAACCCGACACACGCACACACCCGACACACGCACACACCCGACACACGCACACACCCGACAGACCCTCGTTGGTCCCGATGTCTCGAGGGGAATAAGGGGAGCCCCGCTGTGAGGGCTGCTGCGCTGAGAGGGGAGATGGGAATGAGAGGGGAGACAAAGGGAGAGGGGGCGACGAGGGGAGGGAGGGGAAATTAAAGAAGAGGGGGAGCTGGTAATGATAGATAAATCGGGGAATAAGAATAAAGTTCGATTAATAAACATAAAAGCCTTTATTGAATGTGTGAAAATTAGGGTGGCGTAGAAACGTTGGAAAATGAAGATAAAGAGGGAAGTGCGGAGAGGGGAGCCAGTTGGGGAAACGTGGGTATGTGGGAACTTAAAATTACTGTAGGAATTGTAGTTACCTGGAAGTCTACAATTACTGTATAAGTAACAATTACCGAAAATGTTTCATGTTCGATTTCTTAGTATTTTGTTCACAGCTTTTATGTTCAATATTTGCAGTCACGTTTACGGTCAAAGTTTGTGACTGCGGCGAATCGATGATATCTCAGGCCATCGTAGCGCGACTGGATACAGCTGATATCATCTATAAATATCATCCATTGACATCATACATAAATATCATTCAAGATATTTAGCAAGCTAATACCTCACTAACGAGCTTTTTTTTCTCCTTTGCAGATTACTACCAGCGATTGACCACCGCACAAATGGACACATCCATCAGCCAACTCATCGATGGTCATACGTCTCTAGCGGCCACCAGTGACGACCCCTCGTCGTCCATCACGGCCATCATGTCCACAATGTTCGCCACGCAATCATCCGACTTGCGACTTTTCCTACAAAACGAGGACGACAGCTCATCCAGATATGCACGGCAGCGGTTAAACCCTTCCACTTTGTCTAGAAACCTTACGTCTTCAGCCAGAAACCTTTCATCTTCCTCTAGAAACCTTTCATCGTCATCTAGAAACATTTCTTCGTCAGCTAGGAACCCAAATCCTGAACCAATTTCCCTGCAGACCTACCATAGGATCCCTTCTAACACTCGTCCAGATTCCGCGACCTCCGCCAGTTCGTCCGGGACTTCTACCCCCTCTTCAGCGCGTCCACACGTTATGTCCTCAGTTGTGGGACCTGGCAGTCCCTATCCTGCGGGGAACTACTATAATTCGAGGGAATTTTCGTCTTTTTTTGAAGGGAATTTTGCAGCTGCTTCACCGCATTCCCATTCCAGTGGATCCCTGTTCGCAGCCCAACCTTTGTCCCATGTCGGCAACGTGCTGGGGGTGTCCACTCCTCCGCAGTCCACTATCCCTTCCACACCCTCAACCCCGGGGTCTAATACCTTTTTTACAACCATGTACTCTCATCTGAACAACCAACCGATCTACAATCTTGTTTATTAGACCACTCAAACCCCGCTCTATAGACCACTCCTACCTCTCCGCTATTTCGACCATATTCATCTTCCATGTTTTTCTGGTTTTCGGGTTATTTTAAACCAGTTTTTAGGTTGTTTTAGCAGTTAGGATTGTTTTTAGCAATGATTGTGGGTTGAATAATGAATATGTCCCAATAAGAAGGGTTGTTGATGGTTGTGTGATTCTGAGTGGTTCTGACAGTGAATCACGTTACAAAAATACAGGAAATGAATAGCGTCAAGTTTTAAATCGTGACATTTTTGTATGAGCATTTTTATTCGATGATTTTCTTAGAATCGCATTGCTAATCTGTTTTAAGTTGAATATTTTGTATGGTTTCCATGACTGAATGTTGTGTTGGTATCGAACAATTAGATGACAAATAATCATATTTAATTTGTATCTCATTACTATTGTATAAGTGGTAGGTTATTGTTATGTTTAATGACTCGTTAGATTCTTCTAACGCGCGGCATTCATACCACACTAATGAGCTTAACAGGGTAATTAGTTAGCCTAATTAGTGATATTTTGCAACACTTTCGTTGGTCGTAGGTATTACGGTGATCGTAAATACCACGATATTGCCCTACCAGGCACGGTACAGCCCTACCAGGCACGGTACAGCCCTACCAGGCACGGTATTTAGGGTCTGGAGGGTCTCGCTCTTAAGGGCCTGGAGGGTCTGCACTCTTCAGGGTCTGGAGTGTCAGCGCTCTTTAGGGTCTGGAGGGCCTGCGCTCTTTAGGGTCTGGAGGGTCTGCGCTCTTTTGGGTCTCGAGGGTCTGCGCTCTTTGAGGTCTGAAGGGTCTGCGCTCTTTAGGGTCTACGCTCTTTAGGGTCTGAAGGGTCTACGCTCTTTAGGGTCTGGAGGGTCTACGCTCTTTAGGGTCTGGAGGGTCTACGCTCTTTAGGGAATGATCGCTATAAGTCGTAGGTTAACGTCAAATGTTGTGATTCTAACGCTTAAGTTTAGTATTTTGTGTGATTTTTGTGCATACATTGTACAGTGAAGTACTTGCTTTGTACGTGGGCATTGTACATATATTACTGGTACTGCAGTTATTAAGATGTAGGTACTATGATGCATTATGACGCACTATGATGCATTATGACGTACTATGATGCATTATGACGTACTATGATGCATTATATGACGTACTATGATGCATCATGATCTACATAGTTTCGCCCTGACAACCGCTGATCGTGTATCGGTCGTCAGGCGATAACGGCATTACGAGTGATTAATTGATAGCCTTTACGTTAACTAATTGCTAAATAGCTTAATTAGCCGCTAATTAACTTAATTAACCGCTAATTACCTTAATTAGCCGCTAACTACCCTAATTAGCGGCTAACTTCGTTAATTAGCAGCTATCCACGTTAATTAGCCGCTAACTACGTTAATTAGCCGCTAACTACGTTAATTAGCGGCTAACTACCTTAGTTAGCTGCTAACTATTTTAATTAGCCCATAAATACCTTAGCCGTCGACTAATGAGATTTGCAAACTAAACTTCAGGCTTTTAGCCAAAATTTTGTTTTTGAGCGCATGATAGGAATAACATATCTTCGTGTGTAAGGGGACCGAATTCGGTCAACTACTGCAAATCACCACTGCTTGACTTTTATTTTGTCTGCTTTAAGTATATTCAATATCTATTCTTACTGCAAGTTTGCTCGAACTATATGTCTCTACTTCAAGTCTACTTGAACTATGTGTCTCTACTTCGAGTCTACTTGAGCCTTCTACTTCGTCTGCTCTAATTCCACTTGGCCTCCCTGTTCTTCTTGAAACCGATTTTACCTTCTTTTTTTCCTCTCGAACTTTCTGTAATAAGTGCGATTTTTTATTAGTTTGTTATATTCTAGCCTTGTTGAAATATTTTGATTTCTGTAATCAATAGTTTATCAAGTCCGCGTTTGGAGGACCTTCCCTAACAAAATTTAGACGCGGGTCCGACTCTGCATCAGGCGCCGCCCAGGACTCGGGGAGCACGTAAATCAGCCGCTGATATCAGCCTCGGCCGGGGTTGAAGTGCAGCCTCTGGGCGGCTTGTCCGACCAACTCTTGTTATACTTTCAGGACACACTTGTCATACTTTCAGGACACACTTGTCATACTTTCACGACGCACTTGTCATACAATCAGGACGCACTTATCATACTCTCAGGGACTCCATACCGTTGGAAATGAGATTCTGACTAGACGCTGAATTAGACCGTTTGGCCAAGAAAACTCTAAAAGGAGTATAGCGACTCGTTGACAGAAACCTTGGCGTTACTCAATTTTTGTTGACATTTTTGGTGATTATTATCGGTGGCGCTTGGCTGGCGAAATAATTATCTGCATGAATCTTGATTGCTCTTTATTTTTTATATGTTAACGCACCACCAAAGCTGGTGCGGTTGCCACATAACATATCGCTTTTACTATTATTCGCGGCTTTTATTTATTTATGTTTTCTGTTGTGAAATTGACTGACTGCCTTTGATGAACGACGCTGCCACTATTCACTAGCCTTATTTATTTTGTCAGTGTTATTTATTCGAGTAATATGTCCGCTTGTCAACTCGCACCACTTGTGCAGCTGCCGTTGAGTTTGTTGTCAGCGGTTCTGTTGTTTGTTCAGCTCTTATTTTCTCAGGGTAAATAGCTCGACCGCTACGGGTTATTGTCGACGTTACCTTTATCTTTTTACAATTTTTCTACGGTTCCCCGTTATTCTATAATTTTCAGAAACTTCGAATTTTTATTTCTATTTTCCCAATTGCTAGTGCATTATTCTCCTTAGTTTACTTGGGAAATTTCGAAATCATTTTTGTGCCCGCGTCTGTTTGGCCGCTCTTGGTCGTTGCTTTTAAAAATTTTGCCCGGAGTTTCCGCTATAGTTTTTATTTTTTATTATTTTTTTTTGCTGAAAATGTGGATCCTTTGCGAGCGAGCTCAGAATTTTCAACAGTGACGGCTGACGTTTTCAACAGTGATCAACAATAGTAGAGGTCTGTTAGACCCTGGGCTTAAATGAACGTGGCTTTTTTGTAGGTTAGGCTAGTGTGGGGATACGGCTGTATGGTCACGGCCTTTTGACCGTTGGCATGTAAAAGCATAGGCATGTAAATAATTAGGTATGTATATGCATATAGGCATATACATGCATGGGCATGTAAATAATTAGGTATGTACATGCATAACATGAGTGCGTTAGTTAATAAGACGCTGGGCATATATACGAGTTAGTTGTGCTAGTGATTATAACTATAAGAACTTCTTGTACAATAACCTAGAAATATTTTAACTAATTAACTACTGTATAGTTTGGGCCAAGAGCATTTCTTAAGTGATAACGGGCGTGTCATTTGAATAACTTTGTACATAAACAAATAAAGTGATAAACTCGTGATAATTGATGACTTTTATTTTCCTACCATTGGTTGAAATCTAATAATTGATTAATAACAATCATTGTTTGGTTAGTGGTTAATTAAATGCCAGCGTTCAGGGGCCATACTTTCAAAACTCGCTAAGTGAACGTAAGTACTTACGCTCTATTTTCTTGTCTATGATTGGTGGATTTTGCTTGAAAGGCCGTCAATGATTGGCTGATGAACTTACGATCTCTTAACTTTTTTTGAAAGTATGGCCACAGATGACGTCATTAATGGTTGATGTCACACTCAAAGTAATGAATGGATCATATTGTCCAAATATTGACACACTTTCTTACACACAGCACAGAGAGCATGCGTAGCACTGATACGCCCTTTTTCAGGCCAAACTGAGTCAGGATGACTCAGAAACAAGGGCAAATAGTGCATCGGTATATGGACAAAGTCTCGCTTATTTCTGTGAGTGTAGCCTCACCCTCGCCTGGAGCGAGGATATTTGATAGCCTCAACTTATCCTCCCTGTTGGACATCGATAGCAACTTCGACGGATGAAAACAATTCGAATTTGACGAAAAAAAATGAAAATAAATTGTCCGTACGAACAACAACAACAACAGCCATACGCGCAGTTTGTCACTGAGAAAAATTAACGCGTCATGATGTCCTAATAGTGACATTTTCAGCCCCCCGTACTCATACGCCATGATTAATGCTTCTTCTTCAATTAATCAATTTCAATTATTTAATTTCAATTAATTAATTTTTATCATTATTAATCCGTATTGTGTTGGTACCTAGGGTAGAAAATTGAAAAATTTATTTTCATTGATCAATATTACGAGTTCTTATACGTGGTTAATAATTGTTTGAATTTTAATGTATGAGAACAATATACAGGCTATCATGTATGTTGTATAAGAACAATACAGACTCGTGTATAATGTATAGTCTGGCACCAGAAATTCAGGTGACAATCAGAGAGATTAATCTGATATATAATAATTTATTAATCAGAGTAATTATCCTTGATCAATCTTAGAATCGTTTAACCTTTCATTTGACTGGCTTGAAACAACTGTATATTATCACACATGTATATTATGACACATTTGTATTATCACACTTGCATATTATCACACATGTATATTATCTTACATGTACATTACGACACATGTTTTATCTGCATTAAAACGAGAGTATAAATTCATACATAGTTGGCCTGAAGTTTCACAGGCTAAATAATTTCAGGTTCAACATGAAGGTTGGTTTACAAACTTTAAGTTAATGCAACAGTGATTATGAATTCTAAAGCAACTTTATTTAACGATGAATTTTGAATAGAATACCTACTGGCTTAATTATCTATATCTATTTTTAGTACACATTTGATCTTCATTAAATTATTATCATCGAGTAATCATCTGAATGATGTTGAGGTCAGTAAAGAAACATATTTTATATATTATGTGGAATAAAAATTATCCGTTCAAATTAATTTTCGTCGTTTTACTGCAATAATAAAACTAGCGCCGTATGGAATGCTGCATTTCAACTCCCAATTGTCTGTTAACCTCATATTTCGCAGTGAAAAATATCTTATCATCATTACTAATTATCATGTGGATTTTATAGATCAAGTTTTCGTATTTCATAGTTCAAAACGTATGAAATATGAAATACGTTTCAAAACGTATTTCATAGTTCAAAACGTATGAAATATGAAATACGTTTCAAAACGTATTTCATAGTTCAAGGTTTCGTGATGGTTAATAGAATTTGATATTAGATTATTGTCGGAGAAAGTTTAGCACGCTCTGTATTTGCCTCAAAAATGTTCGTAAGTTGTTTGAATAATTAGAGACAGGACTGAAATATGGCTTCATACGTCAACCAATGATTTATATAGCATAAATGATG